GGGACTGTAAAACATTCACACTGTCAACGGGCTGGGGAGTGGGGAGCAGCAGGGACAGTGCTGTGCATATACACCAAAAGGGCTGTTAAACACTGGAACAGGCTAGCCAGGGAAGTGGGTTGAGTCACCATCCTTGGAGGTATTTAAGAGACATGTAGATGTAGCACTTAGGGACATGGTTTGGTGAACTTCACAGTGCTGGGTTAAGAGTTGTACTCAGAGGAGTTAAAGGTCTTTTCCAACCTAAATGATTTCATGATTCCATCTAACTTTCTTACTCACCAAAATACAGTGAAAGCGTCTCTAAAAACAGACACCACAGATAAACTCAAGGAAGGTTACAGAAAGGACTTGGGAACACAGCCTGTATTTCTGCCTTGCAGTTCATCTGAGTTACAGAAAGGACTTGGGAACACAGCCCTGTATTTCTGCCTTGCAGTGTTAAAGAGGGGGGTCATGGGTATTTTGCTTTTCTGTAGGATTCACCCTCTGGAAGAAACTCAAGGACCATGTACTATGACAGACTGGCTGTGGGCCTCCCCTTCTCCCAGCCTGGCACCCTGCTTACACAGCAAGTGGCTGGTGATATGGAAGCCAGGCAGGAAACACACGTGGTCCTGCCCTTGGCTAGTACACCAGAGCATATTATTTTACTATCCTTCTTAGTATGTAGAGGACTACTGTTCAGAAATTTACCCTGTCCCCTTGTAAATGGCTTTCAAATTTCCTGAGGTTTTTTTCCCATCACCACCTAGGAAGATTGCACTAAGTGCAATTCATGAACAAGGAAAAAGGAACAGTTCCTCCCATGGCTCTTCTTGGGAAAGCCCCCACAGTGCTTCAGGTACTCTCCATAATCCAAAGAGTATGCCTGGCAAACACCTCATGTAAGAGGTGCCCCACAGCACAACCACAGGTCCAGCATAGGTAGAAAGCTTTACAAGAAGGTGTTCCTTCTGAGACCATTTCCATACCATTAACAACATAGGAAATCCTGAAAGATTAAGCCCTGTGTTATGCTAAATGCAAACACGTGAGTTGCACAGCTGTAGCTGTTAACATCTTTAGCAATGATGCAGCCAGCGCTGGCAGCCGTGTCTGCATGAGGAGTTCTGGTACCCTGAAGACAAGGAGCCCACAGACATATAATTGCTGGTAAATTGAGTCCTTGTTGATAAAGTAGAAGCATGTCATTGTGCCCAGCCAGCTTATAATGTTGTCTTTCATGAGGCAAATACTCAGCAGAATGATGGCCTATGTAATGCAATATTCATGGTACAGAGCTCCTGAGAAGATCCTAACACCCAGTGCAAGCTGGAACACCATGGAGGCTCCTTCACATTAAAGTAGCAAAACCAGGCCCAAACCTAGAAGAACAGTGATTTCTTAGGCTACTGAGTACTTACAGACCTATCTTCAAGAATGTAGAGAACTTAAAAATTTACTGCATTAGCCTTTAGCCATTAGTACCAAACAGTTCACTGACTGTGGCAAACATTGCTATAAATGAAGACAATAGAATTGGGCCCCTGCCTCTGCTGCACTGCCTGTTTTTCTCGAGTATCCCAGTTATGCATTAGTATTACAACTCACAATCCTTAACTGTGTTGGCATTACATTTCTCTTTATTTCCAGTGCAGTGGCAGTCATCGCCTAGCTTAAATAACAGGCCTTAGATATTCAATGAAGAACTGACAAGTAATAAACTTCTAATGTGATCCAGCTTTCACAGAAATCAGTTTTCAGCATCTGCACAGGTAACTTCACCTCGGCACAAAATTCGCAAGAACTCTCTGATGTAGTGCTCTGCTTCCATATCCCACCTTTCTCTTTAAACAGCTCTGTAAAAAAAACCCCTCAAATTCTACCTGCCAACTGGACTAAAGAGAGATTCAAACTTTCAGTAGCTAATCCATGCTGTCATGAGCACAACGCAGGCAGGCATGCTGGACAGACAAAAGCTTACTGTTTGATGTAGTGCTCTGCTTCCATATCCCACCTTTCTCTTTAAACAGCTCTGTAAAAAAAAAAACCTCAAATTCTACCTGCCAACTGGACTAAAGAGAGATTCAAACTTTCAGTAGCTAATCCATGCTGTCATGAGCACAACGCAGGCAGGCATGCTGGACAGACAAAAGCTTACTGTTTTTTCCAAACATCTTCGTAGTATTTTTTTCTGCCTCTTCTTTCACATCTGTTGCTTTTGGGTCTGGCAGTCCCTGACCTGCTGAATTTCCACATATATTCCAATGTGTCCTTAACCTCAAGTGGACTGTCAAGCCAGATGCCCCCTTACTTCCTCAGTGCAAACTATCAGTAAACCTTAGCATAACTCTAGTCTGAGTCTTAAACTAACAGCATGTGAAAAGATTAATATGAATAATTTCAAAACTAATCAGATCCCTTCTTTAAATGTTGACACAGTATTATTTATATCCCATAAATACCTTCTTGACTAAAATTCATCCCAGGAGATTGGCATCTTGCCAGTTCTATTCATATTTACTTTATTTATACAGTACAGTTGGCCAAGGATAATATTTAAGACAAAATATGCCTTAGGGTATATACAATATCTCTTATAGTTTTCCTTTTAAATCTCCTCATTGCTAAAAATATGTAGTCTGAACTTTACAGAATGCCCCATGAAGACCTATCAGCAATCTGTAGTGATATATTGCTGACTACGAGTATAATTAGAGCATATTTGTAATACTTGGGTTGTAGTCAGTTACTGAATGCTAACAACTTGTGGTAAAAACTGAACCACTGATCTTTCCCATGCCTGCCTTCCAGCAGCTTTTGACCTCCAGTGCATTCACACTGATCCCCTTCTCCCTCCTGCTTCCCTCCAACACAGCAGAAACCATAGAGTTAAAAAAATTCACTCCAACATGCCTAGGAGAAAGTGCCTGTGGCGGCCAGAGCTGCACTTTCAATTTCTTCCTTTAAAATACGGTGGAGCGATTTCTTCCTTACTGTCTTTTTTGGAAAGGTTCGCTCCATCCAGCATAACTAGAGAGCAGTGGAAAAACAGTTAACCTACTTACTCTGATGTTAGCGACAGCCCTTGCACTAGTGCCGGATCTGCTGCTAACTGGCCCTCCAATCCCAAACATCTGATGCACTCTGTTGGTAGATACCTGCAATCTCCTTTGCTCTTCCAAACCCCCTATTGATAATTCAGTACAAATCTGGCCTCTGACAAAGCTTTAAAAATAGATGCTCTTTTGTCAACACCACTCAAGTCATACACCACAGATTTTTTACTTTTCTGGAAAGTATGCAGCTGCATTTTGGACTATTGGCTCTTTGTAGCTCGCTGAAGCAAGGAGAAGGGACAGACGTGCTCAGGACAGATACATTTTACAATTCTAACAGACTCTCTGTTACAGGTTCAGCTCCTCAAGCCAGGCACTGCTATTGGTCTTCCTGACCTTTGCCCATAGATGCTCTTCTGTTCTGGGTATGATCTGAAAGGTCTTTAAAAAAAAGTGCTGACTTTCACCAAAACCACCAGCAAAATAGTACAGTACACCAATATGGAAAACAGTAATGATTTCTCTGTTCTTGCTACGGATACGAATTATACTGAACCTGTCTGCTCATACCCACTTGGCTCCAAATATGCATTTTTTTAAAAAAAGAAAGTATTTCTTCCCCAAGGGTAGTAAGGGTGGAGTGTATTTATCATGGCTATTAAGGATGGTGCCATAATTACAATAATAAAATGGCTCTGACTGCCAGGATGTCCTGTACCTGATGTTGTCATTTAAGACTAAAGGAAGTAAACGAGGCAGCTGCACAGAGCGTGGGGTTCAGATACCTTGGCTGGCATCCTAGGACTATCACATGCAAGATGGAGCAAGCCCCAAAGCTACAACTTGCTAAACTAAAAATAAATAAGGGGAAAATGCAATTAGAAACTCTAGGATAAAGCTACCAAGATGGCTGCATTATCTATTTAAGCAAGAGCTATGTGCTTTTCAGAAACAGACAATAAATATACAGGGCATCAAGTGGTGGGGGAGGGAAAAGCGATCTAAATGAAAAGACTAGGGACTAGGGTTTGGGTATGTGAATGGTGAAGTTATTTTCTGCTTCTGGTATTTCACTTTCCTCAGTATGATGATGATCTAGATTCTTTTAAGGCAGTGCGGTGCTTTTTCTTTTTTTTTCCTATGCACTTAAGCCTCACTACCAAAACAAAAAGGCACGTCATTATGATTATTAATCATTCTAAGTGGATTTGGTCAGCACAGAGCATTCGTACCCTCTTTTTTTCTGTGCAAAACGTGGCATGGATCACTAGAAGGTTGTTAGAAACAGCAAAAAGCAGACAGGCTGAGACTGGTTCCAAGAACCAAGACTACCCAGAAGGGAAAATTTTTTCTGTACCTGAAATGAAAAGTGCCCATGAACCAAAAGGGGAGGCTATTTGAAGAGGGAAGAGGAGGGAGGGCATCTATGTCTCTGTCCTCTCTGACCACCAATCAATAGCAGTCTGCGGGACAATGTCCTGGAGGGACACAGACAAGAGGAGTCAGAGACTTTTTTTTTTTTTTTAAGACCTCCTTTTCTTTTCAGTTACGGAGAGATGGAAACCTGCCCCCTCCAGACACTCCAAGGGAAACAAGAGCAGCGGAAAGATATTGGCTCTTTCTGGAGGCTGTACACGGGGCTGCCGGGGAGCTAACTAAACCCAGTGCTGGGGAGGGAGTGCGATCCTGGGCAGGGAGAGCTGTTAAGGTACGTGGCAGTGCGAAGCAGAGGCACCCTGGATTCCTGGATTACTTCGAAGGGGACTGGAAGTCTCAAATCTGGGTGAACAGGTGACCCCCCCCCAACTTCCCCCCCCCAACCCACCCAGGCACATGTATACCCCGACACCTAAATTAAACCCTAGAAGCCTCCATCAGACAGATGCTGAGGATGAGAGCAAACTGAGCAAAGGCGGCAGATTACGATGCTTGGGGCAGCTATTGGAAGGTGCTGGGCACCGCTAAGCCCCGGGGGGGGTGAAATTACGCACACGTGCACAAACACAGAGGACTTACTTTCGGGGTAAAAAGGCTGCATGTCTATTTTGTAAACTTCTTTAGCATAATACTCCTCGTCACTCCTCTCCCTCTCGCAAGTGGCGGCTCCGTGGGTTGGTTTCTCCTGCAGCAGGTCCCTGGTGCTGTTGTAGATGGAGATGACCTCCGGGGGCACCTCCTCCGGCTCGGGGTACTCGTCCGGGGGGCTGGTGAGCTTCAGTTTGCTCAAGATCTGCCCCCGGATAGCCTCAATCCTCTTGCGCATAAACTGATCCATGTCGAGGGTGCTGCAGGTAGACAGGCTGAAAGCCACAGTGGCCAGATCCACGGTGAGGAGCACGCTCAGGAGATAGCAGTGCATTTTAAGTGTTTAAATACAGCGCCCCCCCCAAAAAAAAAAAGTGACTTTTTTAACAACGAACAACAACAGCAAAAAATTAAAAAATAAAAAGGGGATCTGTGCAAACAAAGGGG